AGTGGCCTCCCAGGTAGCAGTGCCTGGTCCAGGTGCAGCTGATACTGACCAGGGAGAGAGCAGAGCCCGAACCTGGTCGCTGGTCGAGGTTGGGCTAGAACATGGAACATTATCCCCCCTGCCATTCCCACCCCACTTCGCCTTGGAGCGAGGACACAGGAGCACCCTACTAACCTCCCTGCTGCTGGGGGCTTGTTCAGGTGCTATTTCCTGAGCCTGGGGCTGCTTGCTTTTTAAAAAATAATATATTTCCATAGTAACAGCTCCTGCCTAAGGAGCATGTGTAGAGGGGGTGGCAACGAGCAGGGAGCTGGTGGTAGCACTGGCCTGTCAGTAGATTCTGCTAGAGGACCCTGCCCTCCAAGTGTCTAATATCCCATTAAGCACCCAGAATTGTGGTGTAGGCACACCTGTCCTAGATTTAAGGGGGTTCACTCCATTTCTATAGGACAGGAGCTTGTCATTGCTTTCTGGAGGAAGGGGAAGGAAAACTCTACAAAAGGATTCAAAGAATCTCCTTCCCCAAGAGGCCCTTCTCCACATGCACATCGCAAGGACTTTGGCACCCAGTGCCTTCCTTAGAAGCTCAACAGCGAAAGTATTAAATCTCTCTCTTCCAAACCCAGTTGGTCATCTCAGTGCCTGGAAGCAAGCAATGCTTTAAAAATGTGTGTGTGTGTGTGTGTGTTTATCATGTTTTAGAGAGAGGAAGGGAGAGGGAGAGAGAGATAGAAACACTGATGAGAGAGAAACATCATTGATCTGTTGCCTTCTGCACGCCCTCCTTGGGAATCAAGCCCATAACCCGGGCATGAGCCCGGAGGGGAATCAAACCTTGATCTCTTGGTTCCTGGGTCCACGCTCAGCCAGGCTAAGCAACCTCTTTAAAGTAGAGACTTGCAGAGCGAGACAGAAGCTGGCAGGTCAGTACCAAGGTGCCTGAGCCAGAGGAGGTGGTGGGTGGTGGGGAGTGGGGGCACCCCTGGGTTTCACTGCTCCCTTGCTGTGGCCCATCATTGAACACCAAAAGCAACGGCAGATTCCCACAGTGTGGGTTTCCAATCTTGAGGGGAGGAGCCGACACGAGATGAAAGGAGGAGACTCAGGGCAGAACCTGGGGTGCAGGAGGAAGCTGTCGGTGGGCAGAGCAGCCAGGCTAGGGGAGCAGGTTCCACGTGCCAAGTTTCACTCTGAGGACCCTCTTCTCCCAAGAACCCTTCTTCAGGAGCCTCGGACCTCCCAGGGGCCTCGCTTCCCTGAGATCTTGGATTTACTGCTTCAACTCGTCCCAAGCCCTTGCTCCTCTGTGGCCAGATGCTGCTTCGCAACTCAGTCTCCACCAGTCTCCCTACCAGGGGTGGGCAAACTTTTTGACTCGAGGGCCACAATGGGTTCTTCAACTGGACCGGAGGGCCGGAACAAAAGCATGGATGGAGTGTTTGTGTGAACTAATATAAATTCAAAGTAAACATCATTACATAAAAGGGTACGGTCTTTTTTTTTTTTTAGTTTTATTCATTTCAAATGGGCCGTAGTTTGCCCACGGCTGCGCCAGTGCTGCCACGCTTCCTTTCAGTTGTGGCTTAGACCTGCAGCACTCATTTCATTCTGCCTTATGTCTAGCTGGCTGTTTATATGTCTGCTTTTCCCACGCACCCAGAAGCTGCTTAAGAGTAGAGCCCTGCCCTCACTGGTTTGGCTCAGTGGATAGAGCCTCGGCCTATGGACCGAAGGGTCCTGGGGTCGATTCCGGTCAAGGGCATGTGCCTTGGTTGCGGACACATCCCCAGTAAGGAATGTGCAGGAGGCAGCTGATCCATGTTTCTCTCTCATCCCTTTCCCTTCCTTTCTGTAAAAAATCAATAATAATAATAATAAAAAAAAGAGTAGAGCTCTGCCCTCGCTGGTTTGGCTCAGTGGACAGGGCGTCAGTCTGTGGACTGAAGGGTCCCAGGTTCAATTCCAGTCAAGGGCACATGCTGGGATTGCTGGCTTGATTTCTAGTGTGGGGCATGCAGGAGACAACCGATCAATGATTCTTTCTCCTCATTGATGTTTCTATCTCTCTCCCTCCCCCTTCTTCTCTGAAATTAATAAAAATATATTTAAAAAGCCCTGGCTGGTTTAAGCTCAGTGGATGGAGCGTCAGCCTGTGGACAGAAGGGTCCTGGGTTCGATTCCGGTCAGGGGCATGTACCTTGGTTGCAGGCACATCCCCAGTAGGGGGTATGCAGAAGGCAGCTGATCAATGTTTCTCTCTCATCGATGTTTCTGACTCTCTATCCCTCTCCCTTCTTCTCTGTAAAAAAAAATCAATAAAATATATTTAAATATATATATATATGTATATATATATATTTTTTTTAAAGAGTAGAGCCCTGTTTTACTCTTCTCTCTTCCCTCATATTCATCCAAGTTGCTTTCCGATGCTGAAGTAAACTCCTTGAGGGGAAAAAAGCTGTGCTTATATTACTTTGTGTCCCTACAGTACTTAAGAGTTTTCCATTCACATAGTAAGAGATTAGTCAATTCTTTGTAATTTTTAGAAGTCTAACAAAAAATATTCCAATATACATGTAAACGCTAAAAATTTCTACACTGTTTCCATCTTTTGAAAATTCATTCATGTCATCCTAGTAGAATGGGAGATCTGTTACCTTTTAGGTAACAGGGGTTTTTTTTGTTTTGTTTTGTTTTTTTAATATATTTTATTGATTTTTTACAGAGAGGAAGGGAGAGAGATAGAGAGTCAGAAACATCGATGAGAGAGAAGCATCGATCAGCTGCCTCCTGCACACTCCCCACTGGGGATATGCCCACAACCAAGGTACATGCCCTTGACCGGAATCGAACCTGGGACCCTTGAGTCCTCAGGCCGACACTCTATCCACTGAGCCAAGCCGGTTAGGGCAAGGTAACAGTTTTTGAAAAACTGATGGGGTTGGGGAGCAGGAAGAAAAGCAAAAACAGTAACTCAGCTGCCTGGAAAGAGCCATAGGTTTGGTCCTGCCACTGTCCTAGTCCCAGACTCTCCCAAGCTGTCTCGTGGCCTTTTTGGCACTGTGGGACATTTTGGGGACAAGCTGTGAGGCAATCAGACTTAACAATGGCCTTGTTCCCTGGGAGGCACTCAGGACTCCCTAGCAGCAGATATTCTTCTCAGGCATTGTCTGCTCAGCGCAGGAAACCAGCTGAAGCGTTGACAGCTCCCCTATCTGAGGCCTGGGGTGAGCTCAGCTCTCATGCAAATGCTCTGAACTCTTGCCAGGAAAGGCATGACATTTCAAGTGTGGCCAAACGATGTGTTTGTTTCTTCTCATTAGTCTGATAATCAACTGGGCATTTACCATCTCGGGAACAAAAATAGTCAGATTATATGACAAGTATTCACGTAACTATGTTCTGATGGGAACGTGTGCCCTGGACGATGAATCCCTAGTGTCTTGTCTTTGAACGTCTCTCCACCCTCTTCCAGTCAGGAGGAACCGGAAGCCGCAGCCTTCCCATCTGCTCCCGCCTGGTCCTTTCCCTGTTTGGAAGATCTTCCAATCTTGCCACTCACTGAAATCTTTGGAGATGCTATTCTTCCTCAAGGTCCTATCGCCTCCCTTGATGACACTAAATGTGCTCCTATTGCCTGTACCTCTTTCAGACCCAGGCTCATTATGAGTAATGATGCCTTACATACAGATGCCTGTGTATCCTTAGTCCTGTGGGTCAGAAAACTCTAGGGCAGTGGTTCTCAACCTTCCTAACGCCGCGACCCTTTAATATGGTTCCTCATGTTGTGGTGACCCCCAACCATAAAATTATTTTTGTTGCTACTTCATAACTGTAATTTTGCTACTGTTATGAATCATAATGTAAATATCTGATATGCAGGATGTATTTTCATTGTTCGCGACCCACAGGTTGAGAACCGCTGCTCTAGGGAGTTTCCAGTCAGGCACAGATGCACGTGCATGTATATGCGTGCGCGCGCGCGCGCGCGCGCGCACACACACACACACACACACACACACACACACACAGAACAACAATACCAGTCGGATAATAAGTACTGAAAATTTGATGAAATTCTATCACGTAAATTACCAGGATTACTTCATGTCTATAAAGTGTACTTTATAAATAGATGGTTTTTCATAGTTAATTAGAGCCACCTTCAAGCAGAAGAGACATTTCGCAACGGGTTTTGAGAGACGGCCAAAAAAAGTCAACCTGACCCTTATTCCTCAAGCAGGTCACAGTCCAAAGAATGGACAAAGGGCCGGGATACTTGAGTCGTCTTCCCAAACTCCCTGGAGGTGATTTCCTCTCCAGGAATAGAAGTCATTTGTCACCTAAGAGCCTGTGAGAGGATGAAAGAGAATGAAGATGCTGGTGGTAAACTGTTATTTGCAAGGAAACAGGTGTCAAGCCAAAGGCACAGGAACCTGGAGGGAGGAACCAGAGTTCACAGGAAGCCACGTGTGGAGAGCGTCTGGCTCTCCTGCTCCCTTAGCTCTTCCCAATGCTTTAGCCTCGCCTCCTAGGTTTAGCAGCTTGGCACAAGGCAGTGATCCCGCCAGGACCAGGAAAAAGTCGAGCCCAGCGCGGGGCTCAACGTGGAGCATTGAGCTATGAACCAGGAGGTCACGGTTCGATTCTGATTAAGGGAACATGCCCGGGTTGCGGGCTCCATCCTCAGGGTGGGGTGCGCTGGAGGCAGCTGATCAATGATTCTCATCATTGATGTTTCTCTCCCTTTCCTTTCCTCTCTGAAATCAATTAAAATTATATATATATATATATTATATATATATATAAAGAAATCAACAACCGGGTTAAATCCAAGACTCGAGGGCACGCCCAGCCCCTTCAGCGGGGAAGTGCTGGTTGCAAGCTAACAAGCGGGGCGGGGGATAGGATGGGCGGGATGCTTAGGAAAAGAGCAAGGGGAGGGCAAGAGAAACACTGGCCAGGAGGGGCGTTTAGAGTGCCTGTGCTTTAGGATTTACATCGTCTCCCAAACTGTAGCTGCGTTTCCGGGAACTGAGTTGTATTGACCTTGGCTTCCGACTACCCTGCGTCCTCCCCGAGTCGACGCGGGGCACTGGCCCTTTAAACGTGAGCGGCGGAGGCCCAGGAGGTCAGACTGACGTGGAACTCGGAGTGAGTGGCGTAGGACACGTGGTCGAGGGGTCGCTGGCCTTGCTTCCGGGCCAGGAGCTTCCGCTCTGGGTGGTACATCTTTCATAAGTTAGGAAAGTGTCTGCTTCGGCCTTTCGCTGCTTTCCCAATCCCCACGTGATGACTCCATCCTCGAATAAAGGACAGAGTTTAAAGTAACTGCCCACTCTTCTGCCCATAGTCAAGATGGCCGCCTCCGCCTCAGCAGCCGAGGTTGCCCTGCGAACCAGATCCGTCCGGGCGGAATAATGGACGTCGTTTAAAATAATCCTGTCCCCGCGCTCCTGCCCACATTAAAAACGGCCGCCTCCGCCTTCAGCAGCCCAGGTTGCTCCGCGAATCCGATTCTTCCGGGCGGAACCAGCGGAGAGAACTGCCGTGGGCGGGGCTGAGTTGCGGAGGCTCCGGGTCCGGGGCGGCTCGAGTCCGGCGGTCGCGTGTGCTCGGGCCGGAGCGGGGCGGGCCGGGCCGGGCCGGGCGGCCACCATGCGGGCCTTCCCGGAGCTGCCGACGCCGTTGCTGGTGAACTTGATGGGCTCGCTGCTGGGGTTTGCGGCCACCGTCACCCTCATCCCAGCCTTTCGCGACCACTTCATCGCCGCGCGCCTCTGTGGAAAGGACCTCAACAAGCCGGGCCAGGAGCCGATGTGAGCGGCGCCCCGGGCCCGGGCGGGGGGCGGGCTGGGAAGGGGTGTCCGACCGCGAACGGGACGCAGCGCCCACACCGCGGACAGCTGCCCGGAGGGGAGGGCAGCCTGGCCCGCACTGGGCCAGGGGGAGGGGGCTCCAGCAGCGACACCCCCCGTGCGTTACCGTAGCGCCGGCCCAGGGCGTGACCGCGCCCCTCTTTCCCCACCACCCCGCTTGCTGCCGGGCCACAGCCCCGAGTCGCAGGGAGTGATCAGCGGGGCCGTGTTCCTCATCATCCTCTTCTGCTTCATCCCCTTCCCTTTCCTGACCTGCTTTGTGGAGGAGCAGTGCAAAGCCTTCCCCCACCATGAAGTAAGTGGGCGGGCGTTCCCCGAGATTTGGGGGGTCGGGGGATTTGGTGTGGGGAGAGGGGCTGTCTCTTCTTGAGTGAGTCGGGGTCGGTGGAGCGTGACTTGCCCAGCCTCCCCCAGTTTGTGGCCCTGATAGGCGCGCTTCTGGCCATCTGCTGCATGATCTTCCTGGGCTTCGCGGACGACGTCCTGAACCTGCGCTGGCGCCATAAGCTGCTGCTGCCCACCGCGGCCTCGCTCCCTCTCCTCATGGTCTATTTCACCAACTTTGGCAACACGACCATTGTGGTACCCAAGCCCTTTCGTCCGATTCTGGGCCTGCATTTGGACTTGGGTGAGTAGCCCTGCGACGACGGCTCCTGTGTCCCCTGCTTCCGGGCACCCCGACCCCGGGAGATACCGCCTCCGTGCGCCTGCTCTGGCTGTCTTCTCAGATCCCCTCTGTTGGCCCTTCATCCTGTCCTCGCCACTTTTTCCAGAAGAATATCCTTAAATCCTCATTCTATACTTTTATTGTTGTTAATCCTCACCTGAGGACATTTTTCCATTGATTTTAGAGAGAGTGGGAGAGGGAAAGACAGAAATATCGATGGGAGAGAAACACATGGATTGGTTGCCTCCTGCACGTGCCTGACCAGGGCGGGGGCCAGGGAGGAGCCTGCAACTGAGGCCTGTACCCTTGACTGGAATAGAACCCGGGACCCATCAGTCCACGGGCCTATGCTCTATCCATGAACTGGCTAGGGCCTCATTCTGTACTTGGTACCACTTTCTCCCTGTCCTCTCCCCAGGGATCCTGTACTATGTGTACATGGGGCTGCTGGCAGTGTTCTGCACCAACGCCATCAACATCCTCGCAGGGATCAATGGCCTAGAGGCTGGCCAGTCGCTAGTCATTTCTGCTTCCATCATCGTCTTCAACCTGGTGGAGCTGGAAGGTAGGTGGGACTGGGGAAGAGTGAGAGAAGACTGAGTGTTAAGAGAATTAGTTGCCTGATATCTGGCTTTGGGGAATTTGGGGAAAAAGCAATATGTTAATAATTATAAAATATAAGAGCTCTGGCTGGTTAGCTCAGTTGATTAGAGCATTGTCCCCATAAGCCAAGGTTGTGGGTTTGATTCCCAGGACACATACAAAAATCAACCACTGAATGCATAAATCAGTGGTACAACAAATCAATATTTCTCTCCCTCTCTCTAAAAATCAATAAAAATATGCCCAGTGTGGCTCAGTGGTTGAGCATTGACCCATGAACCAGTTCACAGTTCGATTCTGGTCAAGGGCATATGCCTGGGTTATGGGCTCAATCCCCAGTGGGAGGTGTGCAGTAGGCAGCCAATCAATGATTCTTTGTCATCATTGATGTTTCTATTTCTCTCTCTCCCCTTCCTCTCTGAAATCAATAAAAATATAACAAATAAGTACAGAAGATAAGGGAAGGTAATTTATTTTGCAAATAACTAGATTTATTAAATGTGAGAAAAATAGCAGCCTTGTCATTTGTAGCTAGATTGGCACTAATAGATGGGCTGTGGTCTTCTCTTACTGAACATAAACAACTTCACAGAACCTCCAAGTCACTCTGTGGCCGTGAGAGTAAGACAAAAACCAGACCCTCCGTAACTGTGTGAGCACAGACAAAACCATAAGAACGCTGGGACCCCGCCACAGTGACCAAGACCACCTCTTTTGGCTAACATGCGTGATTGCTGCTTCCTTCTAACTCAGCTCCTTCCACTTCGATAAAGGCTAAGATGCTCATAGAATTGCTCCTACTGACAGCACCCAGACCAGTGCAAAACTCTGCCTCCTTGCATCTTCCTCAGAATTACTTCCTGCAAACCAAACAGTCACAGGATTGATTCTCAGTCAAAGGCACATACCTGGGTTGCAGGTTCAATCCCCAGCCCCGGTGGGGTGTGTGCAGGAGGCAACCAATTGATGTGCCTCTCTCACATCGATGTTTCTCTCTCTTTTTTCCCTCCACCCTCCCTTCCACTCTCTAAAAAAATCAATGGAAAAAATATCCTCAGGTGAGGATTAAAACAAAAAAGCTAAGCACTTTCAAAACATTTAAACTTTGTAACAGCTCTGTGTGACAGGTGTTATGAACTGTATTTTACAGATGAGGAAACTGAGGCTTCGAGAAGTTAAATTTGTCATGACCAAGGTTACACAGTTAGGAGTAAAGCTTGTATTCAAACCTAGGTGTGAACGGTCTAAATCAATTTAAGGCAATAACTAGTTTAGAAAGGGCTCATGAAAGAGCTGGAATGTTGAAAATTGCCCGGGTGACATAAAAGAAGTAGTGAGTTCTTTTTTTAAAAATGGATTTCAGTGAGAGAAATGGAGAGGGAGGGAGAGAGAGATAGAAACATCAATGATGAGACAGAATCATCAATTGGCTGCCTCCTGCACGCCCCCCACTGGAGATCGAGCCTGTACCCCCAGCTCGTGCCCTGACAGGAATCGAACCGTGACCTCCTGGGTCATAGGTCTTTAACCCCCGAGCCACACTGGCTGGACAGTAGTGAGTTCTTGAATGTGACTTGGGAGAGGTAGACAGCAAAGCTGGAGACAGAACTTAGACAGAAATGGTATGCGGAGGAGGCTCTCACTTTCCCTCTTTTCTCCCTGCTTCTAAGGTGATTGTCGAGACGACCACGTCTTCTCCCTCTACTTCATGATGCCCTTTTTTTCCACCACCTTGGGATTGCTCTATCACAACTGGTAAGCAGGCCTGTAGATGGGGGCCGACTGTTTTAACACGTGGCAGGTATGGCCCTGATCACGACCCATCTCCTAATGGAGAGGCGAAGTCTGTGCACACCTGCATTGTTTTCTGGGTCTTGAGTTGGTCGTGTTCTTAATTGCTGTCTAACCGGCAGTGGCTGGGTCCAAGTGCTGTGGAGCCACAGGAATAGATGAGTTCAGGGCCTTGGGTCTGGAGAGTTGCTGGGAGAGCTGGAGTCTGAGTCAGAACTGGGGTCAGGGCTAGCCCAGGGCCCAGAGTGAGAGGAAAGATTGATAATGCCTTTTGCCACTGGCTCAGATCCCCTCCCCACACAGGTACCCATCACGGGTGTTTGTGGGCGACACCTTCTGTTACTTCGCTGGCATGACCTTTGCCGTGGTGGGCATCTTGGGACACTTCAGCAAGACCATGCTACTCTTCTTCATGCCCCAGGTGTTCAACTTTCTCTACTCCTTGCCTCAGCTCCTGCATATCATCCCCTGCCCTCGCCACCGTGTGCCCAGGTAGTTGCTTTGGGGCTTGAAAGGGACATCATGGCCTTTTTGCTTGGGATGCATAAAACCAGCCTTAGACATTTGTTGTGTAAAGGCAGTGGGCCCAAAGAAGGGCTGACTGTCCCCCGTGGTTAGCATTTTATAAATGACAGAGCACACTTACTATGTGATCTCATTTAATGATCACAGCAGCTCTGATCACATATAGTAAGCAGCAGAGCCAGAAAGATCTGCACATTCAGGACTCATCCTATTAAATAACCACACTCTCAGTAAGGCCCAGTTACATAAAGCTCTCTTCCCCTGCAGACTTAATACCAACACAGGCAAACTGGAGATGAGCTATTCCAAGTTCAAGACCAAGAGCCTGTCTTTCTTGGGCACCTTTATTCTAAAGGTAACAGGGGCCCTGGCTGGTGTGGCTCAGTTGGTTGAGTGCCATCCTGTGCACGTAAGGTCTCCAGTTTGATTCCAGGTCAGGGCATATGCCCAGGTTGTGGTTTTGATCCCCAGTTGGGGTTTGTGCAAAAGGCAGCTGATCGATGTTTCTCTTTCCTCTCCCTCCTCTCTCTCTAAAATCAATTTTAAAAAACCCACACACATGCCCTAGCCAGTTTTGCTCAGTGGATAGAGCATCGGCCTGTGGACCAAAGGCCCCGGGTTTGGTTCCAGTCAAGGGCACAAACCTCAGTTCCAGGCTCCTCCCCAGCCCAGGCCCTGGTCTGGGCACATGCAGGAGGCAATCAATCGATATGTCTCTCTCACATTGATGTTTCTCTCTCACATTGATGTTTCCGTCTTTCCTTCTCTCTTCTACTCTCTCTTAACATCAGTCGGGGAAAAAAAACCCCAAAACCCACACACATAATTAAAGGTAACAGGAACGAGGAGGTAAGGCTTTAGGCCACCATCCTGATTCCAGGGAGTGGGGAACCAGGCCTGCATTCGACCCCAGGGGAGTTGGAAGCACTAAGCAAGTCCCCATTCGATAAGCATAGGTATTAGCTGCGTTCTCTCCACCTCGGCCCTTCCAGGTAGCAGAGAGTCTGCAGCTGGTGACAGTGCGCCAGAGTGAGGATGAGGATGGTGCCTTCACTGAGTGTAACAACATGACCCTCATCAACCTGCTCCTTAAAGTCTTTGGGCCCATGCATGAGAGGAACCTCACCCTGCTGCTGCTGCTGCTACAGGTGTGGCTGGGGACAGGGCTCGCACCTCCTTGCCTCCCTTTCCATGGTTCTCATTGCAGCTCACTGTTCCTTGCAGGTCCTGGGCAGTGCTGTCACCTTCTCCATTCGGTACCAGCTTGTCCGGCTCTTCTATGATGTCTGAGCTCCCTGATCATTGCCTTCACTTCACAGTCTCCAGGGCTCCTGACTCAGGCCAAGGACTCAGGCCAACCTCGTTCTATCTAGACCAAGACTGCCTCTCAGCCCAGGCCCCTCCCACCCCTCCTCCTTCCCAGCCTTTCATTTCCCCTGTGATAACTGACATGCTGGGCAGTGACCATTGATTGGACTTTGCCTGTAGTTTCTTCCACTTGCCACAGCCCCTGAGGGGGGACATGTGGCTGTTCGGTTTCCACAGCTCCAACCTTCAAACAATAGGCTGGGCCTGGGGCAGAGCCCTGGCTCCTGACAGGGACACGGCTGGGAGAAGACTTCACATGAGACTGTAAATTAAGGGTTCTAATTAGTAAAAGAAGTTGGGGGTGCAGGTGCTCCCAGTGGTAACAATAAAGCGATGTTTTTTTTCTTGTCCCTCCAAGTGTGTTTCCTCCTGGGTATCCTAGGGTAGATTGGGAGGGCTGGTTGAGGCCCTTCCTCCAAGAAGATGCCTATCTCTCTGCCCTATCCTCCGCCCCCACCCACTTCGCCCCCCAGTACCCCAGACCCCTTCTAGCAAGACTTGTGAGCAGAGCCCTAGTCGGTTTGCTCAGTGGACAGAGCGTTGGCCTGCGGACTGAAGGGTCCCAGGTTCGATTGCGGCCAAGGGCACATGCTGTGTGTGGGCTCGATCCCCAGTAGGGGGCGTGCAGGAGGCAGCCGATCAATGATTCTCTCTCATCGTTGTTTCTATCTATCCCTCTCTAAAATCAATAAAAATATATATTAAAAAAAAAAGAAAAAAGATTGCCCTAACTGGTTTGGCTCAGTGGATAGAGCATCGGCCTGCGGACTCAAGGGTCCAGGTTCGATTCCGGTCAAGGGCATGTGCCTGGGTTGCGGGCACATCCCCAGTGGGAGATGTGCAGGAGGCAGCTGATCGATGTTTCTCTCTCATCGATGTTTCTGGCTCTCTATCCCTCTCCCTTCCTCTCTGTAAAAAATCAATAAAATATATTAAAAAAAAAAAGACTGTGAGCAGAAAGAACTGAGACCCACAGAGCCTGTTTAATAAATATTGAAATCCTGATATTTCAAGTAGCAGGAAGGGCCATAGACTAGAGTGATCTGCTTTCGGGTGTGGGACCGGAACTTCCACGGGCTCTCATCCCCATTTTACTCCCTTCGCTGTATGGGAGGGAGAAGGGAGTGACCAGACCGGAAGGGGTGGCCGGGGACTTAGAGAGCGCACCCTTTTAAAAGGCCCAGCTCCACACACTTTCCCGTGGTTCTCCAGGCGGATTCAGACTCCACCCTCTGGCTTCCGGTTTGCGTCGCCGGCGTAGCGTTTGAATCTGGCGCGCTCCCTGCGGATTGGCTGCGGGAGGGAGCGGGGCTGGCTGCGCGCCGTGCTCCTCGCCGTTTTCCCCGGGCAAAAGGTTTTCAAATTCGACCAATCGGCTGTCGCGCTCCCTCAGCTAAGACGGGTCACCAAGGCTTAACTGCAACCAACCAGAGACGCTATTAGAGAAAAGAGCCAATCAGCAGGGCGCGGAGGCGGGCCCTGGAGGCTTATAAGGGCGGCCCCCCCGAGCGCGCGGCAGCGTTTGGACTGCGTCGGCAGCTTCCTTTCCGTGTCTGCTGTCCGCTTCTCCTCGCCGCTCCCGCTCCTCCGCCTCGCGCAGCATGTCGGGCCGCGGTAAGACCGGCGGCAAGGCCCGCGCCAAGGCTAAGTCACGGTCGTCGCGCGCCGGCCTGCAGTTCCCCGTGGGCCGCGTCCACCGGCTGCTCCGCAAGGGCCACTACGCCGAGCGGGTCGGGGCGGGCGCGCCCGTGTACCTGGCGGCGGTGCTGGAGTACCTGACGGCCGAGATCCTGGAGCTGGCGGGCAACGCGGCCCGCGACAACAAGAAGACGCGCATCATCCCGCGCCACCTGCAGCTGGCCATCCGCAACGACGAGGAGCTCAACAAGCTGCTGGGCGGCGTGACCATCGCGCAGGGCGGCGTGCTGCCCAACATCCAGGCCGTGCTGCTGCCCAAGAAGACGAGCGCGGCCGTGGGCCCCAAGGCGCCGGCGGGCAAGAAGGCCACGCAGGCCTCCCAGGAGTACTGAGGCCGCCGCCGCCCCCCACCACAAAGGCCCTTTTAAGGGCCACCACCGCCTCGCGGGAAGAGCTGAGCCGCAGTCGCCCCCACCCCGCCGCCCTCCCCGCTCCCCGGCGCTGACCCGGCCGCCCTGCCCTTGGAGCGGCCGACGGGCCGCGGCCCTGACGCAGCGCCGACCGCGGCCTGGGAGGTGCGCGCTTCGGGCGCCGCCTCGGCCTCGGCTGTGGACTCCTCCCGGCTCTGCCGGCGGAGACTCGGACCCTGACCTGTGCGCGGTCCTCCCCTCTGCTGCCAGGTCCCAGGCCTTTCCCACCCGCTCCCCATCGACCTCCTGGGCCCGTGCGGGGCTGCCCGGACCTGGCGCGGGCGGGAGGGCGGCCAGGCCTCACCGCTCGTCCCGCGACAGACACCAGCACTGTGCGGGGACCCCACCCGGGCCCAACCTCGCTGGTTTCCGAACTGGAATTCAGCAGCTAGCCCACCCAAGAGCAGGTACTTGGAAGTTTCAGATGGACAGATTTTGTTTATTAAAGGATTTTTTAAGAAATGTATCCTGTTTTCATTTTGCCCCGCAGCCTTGTAGGATTGATGACTTTAGGTCCCTCTGTTCTGGGGGGGACAGTGGGGGAGGGGAGACGCTGTTATAAGACTGGTTAATAGAGCAAACAGGACTTTTAAGATTATAGCTTCTTTAATGTCCCTGGGAGACAATTTGCTGTTGGAGGTGAAATGAGAACGATGGAGGCAGAAACAAGGAGGTTCCAGAAGCGCTCTGGGCCGTTCCCAGCCTCTGAAGGAGTAAAGGGTTTCATTTGTCCTCTTCCCTGCAAGCCCACCAAAACAAAGGCACCTTCAGAGCTGGTTTATTAGCAGACTCGATTACATTTCAAAGGCTTGGGCTCTAAAGAGAAGACGCCCCACCTACTGAGCAGGCAAGGCCGTCCCTGGAAGTCTGACTCTGCAGTTCAGGCCCCTGAGGCCTAGGGTGCCAGCCTGGGCAGCAGCAGCCCACCACAGACCAGTCAGTGGGCATCATTAAGCTGCCGTGCGACGTCCAAGATGTTCTTGGCTCCTTTGTTCAGCAACAAGTTGGCCAGGCTGGTGCCCAGGTTCTCAGCAGCCAGCTGGGCTGCTCGTGGAATGTTCTGGGCAGTGATGCCCACCAACTGTGGGTCATCTTCAGGGCCATCTTCATGCTGGGTGAGGGAAGAACGTAGGGTTTGGTGAGCACTCAAGGGGAGATGAGGCAGGCTTGTTTCTTACCCTTCCCTCACCCTCGCCTTGGCACCTGGGCAGGGACGTGGATGGTGGCCTGCATGGTCTCTTGCATGCTCTCTGAGCCGTCCAGACTCCAGACTCCTCCAGTCAGGTACAGCTGGGAAAGCAAACAGGTGCCTTAGTATATCCTGAGAGGAAACCACTTGGAATCCAGAGCTCTTGCTGGCAACAGGGGATGCACAGGGAGAAATGCCAGTCCTTCCCTACCTTTCCACCCACTTCCCTGCTTACCTGTCCATCCTGAATAGCTGTGTGCACTGCTACAGGTACGCTGCAGCCTCCTTCCTGCAGGAAGAAGGTCTCCCTGTGAACCCCAAAGACCCTTAACTACCCTGTGCCCAGAGTCCAGAAATTCATAGGCCTGTGAGGACATCACTGAAAAGGAGGCTAAGGGCCCAGACCTGGGTCCTCTTCATACACAACATTCAAGAATAAGTTACCAGCCCTAACCGGTTTGGCTCAGTGGATAGAGCGTTAGCCTGCGGACTGAAGGGTCCCAGGTTCGATTCCGATCAAGGGCATGTATCTTGGTTGCGGGCACATCCCCAGGAGGGGGTGTGCAGGAGGCAGCTGATCGATGTTTCTCTCTCCCTTCCTCTCTGTAAAAAAAAATCAATAAAATATATATTAAAAAAAAAAAAGAATAAGTTACCATTAAATACAGAGCATCAATGTGACAGTCTCCCCACCACCCATCCCAACTCCTGTTCCACCACAGGTGGAACACAGGCCCTACCAGGTGCTTCAGGAAGGCTCGTTCGGCAATGCAGCAAAGCAGGGTCTCAGGATGGTGCAACATGCCCACCAGGTCCAAGATGTCCTGGTCCTTGGCTCGCACTTCCACGCCCAGGGCTCCCTGATGGAAGAACAGCCTAAGACAGCGGTTCTCAACTTTCCTGATGCCGCGACCCTTTAATACAGTTCCTCATGTTGTGGTGACCCCCAACCATAAAATTATTTTCGTTGCTACTTCATAACTGTAATTTTGTTACTGTTATGAATCATCATGTAAATATCTGATATACAGGATGTATTTTCATTGTTACAAATTGAACATAATTAAAGCATAGTGATTAATCACAAAAACAATATGTAATTATATATGTGTTTTCCAATGGTCTTAGGTGACCCCTGTGAAAGGGTCGTTCGACCCCCAAAGGGGTCACGACCCACAGGTTGAGAACCGCTGGCCTAAGACATCAGACCCAATCTTTTCCCGACCAATGGAGCTAAGGGTGGGAACCAGCCCACCTTCAACTGCTCCCCAAGGCCCTTTGATCGAGTAGCCTTCCAAGGCCTGCCCCTCCCTGGGAACTTTGATGCACATGGTTGTAAAACCAGCTCCTTGGGCAAACATACCTGACCCACAGCGTACATGCATTCCTCGGGGTGCAGGATCTGTGGGGGCAGAACAGGCAGAAGTATAGAGACAGAGTGACATACTGCAGTGAGCGGGGGGCTCCCTATCAGACAGAAAGCCTGGACAGGCAAAGGAGGGAGTCAGCCTCTGATTCCCAATCTTCCCTGAAACTTCTTTCCAGCTTAGTGTTAGAGGCAGGGTGTTCAAAAAGAACATTAGCTACCACTAAATACAGGCAGGGGGGAAAGATGAACTGGGAGGGGAAGGGGATGGCCCCCACCTGCCCCACGCGGTTCTGCCAGCCCATGCGCTGCAGGCCCGCTGCAGCCAAGATGATGGCACTGAACTCCTGCAGCTCGTCCAGCTTCTGAAGCCGAGTGTTGAGGTTTCCCCGCTGAGGAGAGATGCTAAGGACATGCGCATTGTTCTCTGCCTGAAACTTTCTAGCTGCCTAACTTTTTAAAAATTAAATATTTATTGTTTAAAGTATTACATACGTCCCCCGTCTTCCCCCCATCCCCGGGCCTTCACCACACTATTGTCTGTGTCTGTGGGTTATGCATATATGCATACAAGGTCTTTGGCTGATCTCTTCCCACCCCCACCTTCCCTCAGATTCCACAGTCTGTTCCATGCTCCTATGTCTCTGGATCTATTTTGTTCATCAGTTTACATTGTTCATTAGATTCCACATATGAGTGAGATCATGTGACACTTATCTTTCTCTGATTGGCTTATTTTGTTTTCTAGCTGGCCAACTTCTCATCTTTAGGTTCTCAGCTTAATGGAAGCAGCTAACACTTAATTCATATTATATGCCAGATACTATTCTAAAATGCTATGTACATATGCCAACTGATTTAGTTTTCACAGAAACTCTATGAGGAAGGTTTTATTAGTATCTACATTTTACAGATGAGGAAAATGATAGGTCAAATAAATTGCCCAAGATTACAAAGATCTCTCAGAAGCCTTCCTTGCCCCCAAAATCTGTGTTTAGATGTTCCAGTTAGAAGCTTCCAGAGAATTCCCTACTTTGCACATTAGAGCACTTATCACATACCATTTTATTTTATAAAACACACTACATATTCATTGTAAAATTCAAAACAATACAGAACATAAAAATGGAAGTGCCCAGCCCTTCCCCATCACCTCCCTCCCCCCTCAGTAATCACTGTTCAGCATCACTGTTTTATCAATGCCTGTTTGTCTCCCCAAACTGTAAATTCTATCTGAGCAGGGGCAATGCTGATGTGAAAGGGTTATGAGTGGATGAATGGAAGGACAGTTAATCCACTGCCCCATGGTCCACTTCCTCTGGAAGTTCTTTCCATTTTAGGGACTCTCAGGCCCTCTGGACCTCGCCTTCCAGCTGCGCCCCGCCCTCCTCTAAAAGGATACGATGCTCTTGAACTGCAGATGTGGGAACTTTCTCTGCAGCTGGGCGGCTCTTCGCAGGGAGCTGGTTCCCACCACACTGCTCAAAGACAGGGTGGAAAGCGAGATGTAACCCCAGTCACCGTTCCTTTCCTCCTCCTCCCCGTCCTCCAGCTTCTGTGCATATTCCACCAAGATGCCTAGCCAGGCCCCACTCACCTCTTCTCTGGCAAGGTCTCTAGGGTCTTCCCAACAAATTTTGGGTGAAAGACAACAGCATCATAGGGGTTCTCTCGCCTAGGGGGTGGAGGGAGGGTTGTAGAGTGAGAGGTCTCAGTTCAGGTCATATCCAGTTTTTCCTGATAGCCAACTAACTGGCATTTTCTGAGTTTTTCTGCCATGCTTACTACTCGTTAGAGCAGGGGAGCCAGCCCTAGGGGCAGAGGGCCAAGTCCCAAAGGGAAAAGCCAAGGTTAACTCACTGCCTATCCTGCCCCCTCCCCAGCCCAGGCCCAGATGCAGAGGGCACTTACTTGCAGACGGCTCCAATGGTGAAGCCTGGAGGAAGCACAGTGGGCAGGTCCTTCAGGGAGTGAACGACCAGGTCCACTCTAGAGAGATGGGATGGGGGCAGGAGAAGGGTCCAGGCAGCAGCTTCCATCTCTGCTCCATCCATCCCGCCTCTACTTCAGTGGCCGAGCCAGGAGCAGTTCCAAAAGCAGGCCTGAGACCTCAGGACCCTGAGACCTTCTCCCTTTCTCCCCACTCTCCTCCTCTCCTCCCCCCTCCCCATCAATCTTTCTGGGCTCAGAATCAGGACACTCTCCTTTTCTGATGCCTAAAAAACACACATATGACTCCCTCTTGAGCCTATCCAAGAGTCTAAGCCCAGCAGCCTAGCTGATACCCAGGTCTGCTGCACACAGAGGCTGGGAGGGCCCACACTCTCCTGTCTTTCACTTACTCATTCTTCTCTAACGCGTGCTCCAATTCCTTGGTAAACAGGCTCTTCTCTCCAATCTGCCACACAAGAGCGAGAGAATGAATCTCTTGGAAGAAGGAAAGAGGAAGGGACAAGGGTTGGGGTGGGCGGGCATTACTACCTTAGAGAGTGCAGTATCAAGAATCTTGTCCCCTGTGGTGGACATAGCAACTGAGGAGAGAGTCAACCAGTCACACATTGGTCAGTATTCATTGTGCCCCTACTAAACCCAGCACTCTGCTAAGATTCAGGGTAGACACAGGGGCACATAAGCCCCAGCTCCAACCCTCTGGGAATGTACAATCTCTCAGGAAGATCAACACCCTCATAAAAAGACCCAAGCCCTATCTGGTTTGGCTCAGTGGATAGAGCATCGGTCTGGGGACTGAAGGGTCCCAAGTTCGATTCCAGTCAAGGGCATGTACCTCGGTTGCAGGTTCCCTGGCCCTGGTTGGGGTGCATGCAGGAGGCAACCAATCGATGAGTCTCTCTCACATTGATATTTCTGTCTCTCCCTCACCCTTGAACTCTCTCTGAAATCAATAGAAAAATACCCTTAGGTGAGGATTAACAAATATAAATAAATAAATAGGCTCAATGCAAAAGACATTAAATGCCAGGCTAGCCCCGGTAGAGGGGTGAGGAGTCTTCCAAACTGGGAGTAGGCAAGATTTCTTGGCAGCAACAGGACCAGGCTGTGGTCCCAGGCAAAGCTGGAAACACTGTGCTCTCCCCTCCAGAGCAGGTGAGGGCTTCCCATTACTTCCATTACTGTCCGGAAAACTCACTGATTTCAAACTGCAGGCCTGGGTTTAAGGTTTTCAGCATTGCCACCACGCTGTCCGTCTGTATGCGCGCCAGCTGGGGGCAGAAATTGGCATTAGTCCTGTCCTTCCCTGGCCACTGCCCTGAGCTCAGATTCTCATAGGGTCAAGACAATCCTGAAGGGATTGGAATTCAAAGAAGGTGCTGAATGTCCACCTTGGGAGGAGAGGGGTCTGGTTTGGGAGTCCTCTGCACCCCAACAACTTCCCCAGCCCAGGGACTCTCTCTCCACAGAATGCAATCTGCCATTGTGCATAAAATTCTAACACCCAGCTACCCCATTTCCTCCAGTCCTGAGTTGCTGGTTCCCCCAACTTATAATATTGTGCACACAGACTCTTCCCACAAACCTCCACCCAGTACCTGCACTCACCTGGCTCTTGCGCGTACCCACGCGAATCACTCTCATCTTCGGGCTGTTTTCTTCCTGCAAAAAAAAATTCCCAGGTCACAGTCCCTCTGTTCCTTGTGTTCCTCAACACCTTGTCCAAGAAACAGATCACTGGCTTGGAAGAAAGGAATCTCAGCCCCTGGCCAGCAGCCACCCAAGGCCGGTCCCTTTCCTGTCCCCGGTACCTTCTGCTCTCCTCACAGACCTAGAGAAGCAGAGACCAGAAGGAAACGACAGTAGGATCTGCTATTGCTGCACTAACCAGGACACTGAACGCACAAGCCCATCCTGGCCACGGCAGTGGAGTGCTGCACAGAGCCAGGTGGGCAAAGAGATAAGGGCCATCAACGTGGCCACAGAGAGGGTGGGAACTGCGGCAGGAGGGGCAGGGCAGCTGGGGCCACACAGGCTGAGTCACTGAGGACAAGTTCAAGCATCCACAGCAGAACAGGCATTAAGCGTCAGTGCCACCTAGATCCAAGAGCTATCCAACAGCTGCCAAACCATGAACCCCCTAATCTGATCGAATGATTACACAAGGGACTGAGGTCAACAGACCTGATGTATAGTCCTGCTCAGCCTCTTGGCTGGGTGACCTTGGGCACATCACCCCTTCAGTACTTTCTTGTTCATCTATAAAATGAAGAGTTTTGGACCCAGGTATCATTTGTCTTTGATGTTCTATAAGACTAAGAGACATGCACCTGGAGTTCTACCTGTGGTTTCACCAACAAGGAAATATTGGGACATCAAATCAAGAACTCAACACACTCTCCTTCCAGGACAAAGGTGTTCGGTGCCAAGCAAGCAGAACTGGGTTCTTCAGCCTGAGACCTTATTTCTTTCTAGACCTGACAATTGCCACTGTAGATACTTCCAACTTTCCCTGTTCTGGGATCTTTAGCCCAGGGAGCTGTTTCGCTAGGCGGCACCTGAGGAGTAGGTGACAGCTAGTTGGTCTTGGACTGCAGTATATTCCATTCCTATCTCTTCTCTAAACAACAAACACTGGCCCGGCCAGCATGGCTCAGTGGTTGAACATCAACCTATGAAGCAGGTCATGGTTCAATTCCCCATCAGGGCACATGCCTGGGGTTTCAGGCTTGATTCCCCATTGGGGTTGTGCAGGAGGCAACTGACCAATGAATCTCTCATCATTGATGGTTCTCTCTCTCCCTCTCTGAAATCAATAAAAAAACATTAAACAAACAAAAACCAACCCTGGGGGAGCATGAGAAATTAGGCTAGGCTTGGAATGCTAAACATGGCCACTAATTCTGGGCTACAGGAAAACCACAGAAAGACATCTAAGGTCCCAGAACTGCTAGGTTCAGGCAATCCCTTAAGTTCACTGAGTCTGCACAACATAGTCAAGTTAAATGATTCCATCGAAACTGGTTTATTTAGCATGTATATGCTAGAGCTACCGCTTTTATCTTCACCGCCACATATCAGGTGGACAGGGCAGACGTCTTTGGGACCATGTTGTAACAGCAAAGCCAGGCTCCAAAGGGTGACGTGACTTGTCCAGGGTCACACAGCTCCTAATGGGCAGAGGGCTGGAGCTGGAATCCAGACCTTTCTACTCCCGGTCCAGTGCTCAGGAATGTCTGCAGTGGCAAGGAATCCTCTACTCACTAGCAGGCTGGACAGCGGCAGATAAGCAGCTGCCCATCTCTTTCTTATCTCAGGCTGGCAGCAGCCTCCAGCGGCTCTGCAGTTCGCATCTGCACCAGCCCAGAGCTCCCGCGGAGCAGCTGGGGATAGGGAGACACGAGGGCGAGGGCGCTCCCCTCCCGCCCCCAGGGTAGTGACCCAGGGGTGCGTTGCAGCTTTTTTTAAAAAAATTGATCCCAGAGAGGAAGGGAGAGGAAGAGAGACAAACATCAATGATGAGAGAGAATCACTGATCGGCTGCCTCCTGCACAACCCACACTGGGGACTGAGCCCGCAACCCGGGCCTGTGCCCTGACCGCGGATGGAACCGTGACCTCCTGGTTCAGAGGTCCCCGCTCAACCACTGAGCCACACCGCCGGGCGCAGCTGGGGTTTGGAGAGAAGGCTGGGGCTGGGTGACTGGTGAGACGGAAAAAGGGAAGAAGGTGCTCTTCCTGGATGTGTGTGTGCAGTTCTGAGACTGGGGGCGTGCTCTCCCCTCTGGATGCACGTGGAACATTTCCCAAGATGGGGGGACCCCACCGCGGCCCGGCCCTTGGGAAGGGATCCCGGGGAACGGCCCGTCTTCTCGGTCTGGGCGCTACTGCGGCGCACGAGCTTCCTCGGTCTGGGCCACCTGAACCTAGACCCGCCGGTGCCAGCCCTGGAGGACTCCCACCCGGACCCAGCAGGAGGGGACAATCCTCCATTCTTAACCCCTTCCGCACCGCCCGCCCACTTCCTCTCCTTCCAAAGGGCGGCTCAGCGACTGGCCCTATAACAGCTATGGGGCGGGCCCGAGAGGGGGGGAGACGGACAGTAGTTCCGACCAATAGACGACACAGAGGGTGGTAACCCGAAGCCAATCACTGCATCCCTAGTCTGGACACCGAAGTCCCGAGGGTCACGGGTTCAGGACTCACCGCCGGCGAGGCCGCGTGGCTGGGGGCCGACATGGCAGTGCCCGGTCAGCAGGGCCTGCGCAGGGCTCCGAACTCGGGACGCCGGCGGCACCGGCTGGCGGGCACGGGCGCCACGGGCAGCCTGCGCTCCGTCCGCGGCGCCGACTTGGCCCGGCTACGTCACTACCGGCGCCCGCCCTCGGAGGGGCGGTGCCTGCCCTGGGCGGGAATTAGGATTACGACGGAGACGGGGCCATTGCGGTGCCGCCCCTACTCGGTCCAGCTGAGGCCGACGGCGATTTCCTTGCCCGTCTTCCTGGTTTGAAACCCAGCCTCCCGCCTGCTCCTTTCTACCTCCACCTCCACAGTTCGGCGCGCAACGCTGATGGTCAGTGGCTGAGAGCCCAGATGAAGCCCCTGCTCCCCTTTGCAGACCTTTTTATCCTGCTTATCCTCCGATACCGAGTACCTTCCGTGAAGGCAGACTTAGGCCCAAGGCTCTTACCAGAACCTGCTTCCCACCTAAGTATTTTGTCCAAAGAACCACAGAGCCAGTCAGACTAGAGAGCAGAACTGTTTGGGGGGCCTCAGTCCTTGGAATTTTGCGGCGGCTCTTCAGTAAGCGGGACCCTACCAGATGCCACAGGCCCCGCCCACTCACGGAACGAAGCCAAACCAAGATCTTAAAGCGGTCTGTGAAGGAAGTGGGTCGTGGAGCTCTAGGAATGCAGAGGAAGAGAAGTAATTCTACAGTAAAGAATCAGCGAGTCCCCAGAATAACTTTATCAACCCCGAAATCAGTTTTTAAAAAACATTTTTTAAATGCTTTTTTAGTGAGGGAGGGAAACAGTAATGAGAGCAACACTGATAGGCTGCCTGTTGCACGCCCCCTACTGGGGAATGAACCCAAAACCAGGCATGTGCCCTGACTGGGAATCAAACCAGCAACCTTTCTGTGTATGGGATGACACCCAACCGAGTCACACGGGCCAGGGCTGAAATCATTTATCTATAGGCTCTGGGAGCAAGGACCCAAGCACAGACTGGTGCTCTCGGATGGAGAATAAAGCAGCTATTGCCTATACTTGGAGGTTGTTGAGGTGCCCTCCCCCAGGGTTTGAATAATCAACGCTGCTCAGAAAGTTAACAGGAAAAACAGTGGGCTGGCCAAAGAGAAGGCAGGAAAAAAAATCCCCTTCAGTCCTGAAGGGTATCACAGCAGAGGCCGGGACATGCCTGCCTGACTCCTGGGCATTAGCTCTGCCTCAGTCCTGGATTCCTGCTGCTCGGCCTCCATTATCACCCCCCTCTTGCCCTCAAGCTGTTCAAGTGCCCCTCCTGGAGTGCACAAGCAGGTCCCGCTGCAGCCCAGACTCCAAGCTTCCAGCCAGCCTGGCCGTGGGAGGGTCAGTGAGCAGGGTCAGTTTGTTGAAAACGCCTCGGCCGAAGTAGTCAGCGATGACAGAGAAGCTGTCGTTGGAGCACTTGAGCTGTGGGAAAGAAGAAGGAATCAGAACTGAAGTGCCTGTTTCCTCAAATGGGCTCCCCTGCAGTGCTCCCAACTCATCTAGCCACTCTTTCCAACCTGGTGCTGGAACTGGTCGTGGAGGTCGCGTTTCTGTTCCTGGGCCCGGATCATATCCATGACCTTCCGGTTTTCAGGGAGGCAGGTGGGGCAGTCAGCATCACTTTCCGAGTAACTCTCAAAGCAGTGTTGGTGGAAAGAGTGTCCACAGAGAAAGTGGACTGAGGGCAATTCCAAGGCACTGTTACAGATGCTGCACTTGGTCTTCTGGAAAATCTTCGGACTACAGGCAAGGGAGACCAGAAAGGAGTGGCAAACAGTGAGTGCTGGGAGCCGGTCCATCCTTTCTGTTTCAAGGGACCTGGCATATATGGCATACTGTTCTTAATATGTTTGCTCACCTTCTTGGCACTATGTGTTTTAACCAAGGTCACCTCTCTGAGAAAGGTTGTTTCCCCAGGTAGGGATTTTCCCCTGAAGTTAGGGAGGGAATAAAACCCCTTAACTAAGTGCCAGGCGGGTAATTAATCACTTTAACTACGAACAATCATGCTTAAGCTACATAATCTTTACTCCCTGGAATGGAGATAAGAAACGCCCTAACCTTTGGAATAGAGATTGATAGGATTGGAATCAACTGGTATAAATACAGATGTAACAAGACAACAGGACACAGAACCTACACAGAACCTAGACACAGAACCTAGAGACAGAAGAACTTCGCTGGAGAGAACATGGAAAAGATCCTGGACAGAAACTGGCCACAGAACCTAGAGACAGAACCTAGCGAGAGAACCTGGCTGAAGAACCTAGAGACAGAACCTGGCTACAGAACCTGGATAGAACATGGCAAGAGAACCTGACTAGAACCTGGTGACTGAACCTGCCTGGAGAACCTGGACAGAACCTGGCTGGAGAACCTAGCAAGAGAACATGGACACAGAACCTGGCTGGAGATCCTAACCAGAACTTGGCTGGAGATCCTGGCTATAGATCCTGGCTAGGCTGCTGATCATCTGAACGCTGTCTCTGTGTCATTCCTTCTTCGCTGACTCCGTCACACCTTTGGGGACCCCTGGACCTGCTGGGGTTGGACCCCAGCATCTGGCGCCCGAACAGGGACCCCTAGGTAAGCCCCACTCTCGGGATGGATAGGACTCCACCATAGGAAGAGGGTGGATAGTCTTCGCCGACTCCGTCCACACCTCTGGGGACCCCTGGAACAGGATTCCCCTAGGTAAGCCCCCCCACCCCCCCAATGAGAACCCCACACTCGGGACGGATAGGACTCCACCAGGGTACTGCAGACCCCCCTATAGAGGATAAGTAGG